AGGGGAGGGGAGGGAAGGGATAAAAAAGTGATGAAGTCCATGTACCAACTCCCCACAGGAACGTGCACACTATGTACTGAGAACATACACTAATTAACAAATGTTTTCTAAAAAAGAAGAAAGGAAATAGAAAAAAAGAAACTCCTACCAGATCAGTAAGAAGTCTGAGTTGGGTATTATATCCAGTCCCTGGCTCATTCCTCTGTGTCACTGCTCCCTTGCTCTGATCCCAGCCACCAGGAACTGAGAAGATTTTCTCCCCCAACCACGACGCTCCTGCCTTGGAGCCAGATCAGTGTGGACAGAATCCCATGAAACCATGAGCCAAATCAGACCTTGCCTCCTCTAAGTTGTGAGTGCCAGGTACAAGGAAGCAGACTAGGACACCTGATCTGAAACAGAAGGAAAACAAACAAAACAGGGAAGAGGGAGGGAGGAAGTGGTGGGAGGAGGAGAAAGGATAGGACATTTCTAAATAGGACAGCCAGGAAGTCCTCTGTGAGAAGGGATGGTGCAGAGCCCAGAGCTGGCTCTAGGTAGGTCCAGTAATAGTCAAGGAACCCCATTAGCACTGAGCGGAGGGAAGCAGGAAAAGATGCCGAGATGAAGCCAGAGAGGTTTCTCGAGGTCCACACCGGCCTTGAAGGCCACTGCAAGGACACCAGCTTTAACACTGAGCGAGGGGGAAACCATGGGAAGGTTCTGTGCAGAGGAGAGCTGTGATCTGGCTTGGATTAATAGGTTCACCCTTTTGCAGCCAAGTCGTCTGAAGTCCTGCAGGCAGGGAAGTAAAGGATGTTGCGGCCAAGAGAGCCCAGAGTCACGTGGTCTCAGAGCGTCGTTAACATGATGTCACGTAGTGTGAGCTGATGGAGCAGGATGCACACATAGTACAGTTGCTTAAAACACAAGCGGTAAAGAGTCCCATCTTCTTACAGAGAAGGTTTCATATTGGTAAGGAGACCGGACTCTTCCTCAGCCTCGCCTGGGGAATGCCTTCAGTGGTACCAATAGGCCCAGGGATTTAGCTCAGTGGTTCTGTTGCCTGCCTCGAAAGCGCAAGGACCAGAGTTCGTTCCCGGTACAAAAATAAATAAATAAATGGTACAAATAATTAGGAGAAAATTTCCCTCTGTTCTAGATCTCAAAATAGTAAGAGGGAGGATAAAAGCTGCTTGGTTAGAGAGGTAGCATGATGTGATGGTTAATACAGTATGTATATTATCAGCCCCCCAGGGTGAATGGAATTGCTGTGTATCACAGACATATACTCACTAAAAAATCAACTTTAAAAGAAAGAATATCCATGTGGGACTGGGCATGGTGACACGCGCCTGTATTTCCTGCACTTGAGAGGTTGAGCCAGGAAGATCACAATTTCAAGGCCAGCCTGGGCCACATAGCAAGATCCTGTCTCAAAAAAAAAAAAAGAGAAAAGAAAAGAAAAAGGAAAAAGAACAAGAACATAGACATTTGCAGCAACATGGATAGAACTAGAAAACATTATCTTAAATGAAATACTAAGCCAGGCACCAAAAGACAAATACTATGTGATTTTCCCTGTATGTGTAAGCCTAAAAGTTGCTTTCATAGAGGAAAAGAGGAACAGAGTGGTCAGCAGAGGCTAGAGAGGGGAGGAGATGGGCGAGACACGGAGATGGGCAGAGTACCAAAATCAAAGTCAGGAAAAATAAGTTCTCCCATTCTGCAGTACAGTAGGAACTGCAGTTCACAATGATTTGCTATACATATGACAAAGAAGAGAAGGCAGATCAACTGCTGCTAATGCAAAGAATAATAAATGTTTAAGGAGATAGGCTAATTTGACCACTATACACTCACTGGATACACGGATCAAATAATCGGTCTACTCTAAACATGGACAATTGCTGTGCACAAATCTTTTAAAGAGGAAAGAAGAACAGGGGTATAATGTCTGGTTTGAAGCCACCTCTGCCACCTCCACGCCGTGTGACCTCAGACACATAGCCTAACCTCTCTGCGCCTTAGTTTTCTCATCTATAAAGTTGTGATTGCAAAAGTCCCCTCTTCATGGGGTTTGTAATCGAATCCGATGAGTCTACAGTACCTGGAACATGCCATGTGCTTGCCATTACAATTTTTTACGCATAGGTAGTCAGAGGCATTCACGTTGTCAGTAAAGTTGAGCAAATCAGCATATCTATTTCTGGACACAATTTCAAGTTTAATGCCTGCGGTGTCATCTGTGGAGTCCATGAGTAGATCTTCTTTCTTCCTACACTTCCTTTTTAAATGCTCTTCAGTAGTCCATGTTCGCAGTACACAATGATGGCATTCGCGGTGGTGAGCTGGTCCACGGACACAACACATCCCAAGTTTTTTAATCCCTTCTCCCTCCATTTCTTGGTCCCCTTCCCTTCCGCAAAAGTTCTACCTCCTGTTTCCTACTGCCTTGCTTTTATTTTGCTCTTTAATTTATGCATGCCCTGGGTTTCTCACAGAAGAGAAAGTGCGATATTGAAGCTCACGTGCCTGCTCTATTTCATTGAACACTTTTCTAAAATATCATTGTGCCTTTTGCTGATTAATTGTCCAGGAGCTCCGAGGGTGGGGGTGGGTGGGGTTTTCTCCAGGAAGGCTAAGAACGCCTGACGGTAATCAGCCCCATGCGTGGCGGCCCCTCCTCTGCCCCTAGGAGCGCTGGTGCTCGGTGATTGCGGTCACGAAGCACGAGAGAATCCCACTGGGAGGAAGAGATCCGCCTCTGCTGTGAGGACGCACCACCGATCCCCTGTGAGCTAGAACGAAGGGTTTCTAACTTCCAAATGCCCCTTGCAACTCTGAAAACAGTTCTTTGTGGGTTTTTTGATTTTTTTTTTTTTTTCACTTTGGACTGTCAACCGGTTTCACATGACAGCCACTAAGGGAAGGAGAAAATGAACATTACAGTATATGCCGGGCTCTCTCTTGGCAAGGCACTTTGCATGTAATTATCTTAGAGCCTCCACCTCACACAGATGCACTGCAGCGCTGGCCTCTAACTGCTCTCAAAGACCACTAAAGCTGACAATCACTCCGACCACTGGTCCACTGATGTCTTTTTTCCCCTTCTCCTGCCAATAATTTCTACCTAGCGTTGGCTGATAAAAGACGCTTGAGTTAGGCTTTTCTTTTTTCCTAAAGCACTCCATAATTAGGACAGCCATGACAATATCTAGCATTGCTTTGGTACATTCTCTGACCCTAGCGTTTTGTCGTCCGCTCTTCTGTTGCCCTGTACTGTCATTCTGAGCAGACTGTTGGAAGGGCCCGAGACAAAGCTCATTTTGGGGCCAAAGACACACAACTTGGAGATAACTAGTTTCATACATCCCTGAGCAAACTGATCTGATAAACAGAGCCCTCCGTGTGCTTCATCCAAACTCACACAGCAAGACCAGCTCTGTAAGCTAAATTTCCTATTGAAAAAAGCAATTAAGCTTCAAAAAAAAAGCCATTAAATGAAAGTTTGAAAAGAAAATTTCTAAATATGTCTTGCCGAGTATCTTATACAAGGAGCAGTTAGTCTGATGATTCTAATGGTGACTGAGGTCCAAAGTCACGATTTCATTTCTGGAAGGAATAAAGATCCCTTTGTCACCACTTGGATAAGCCAGTTGAGCCTCTGTGCCTCCCTCCTGCACCTCTAAGCAAATGCATACCACACAATTAAATGTTACCTGGGGAGTGCTCAACAGAAGATAAAACACTCTCCTAAAAATGTTATCGTAATCACTTTCGATATTCAACTGGGTTATGCTGCTGTCACTGAGCTGGGTTTTCTTCTACACATGATAATTCAGCATAGCTGGGTGAAGCCTTTTTGTTTTGCATTTCTAAAGCAATAAGGTGCCCAACCTCATTCTCTTACACTGAAAGCTAATCAACAGTGAAAAATTCAACCCCAGCAGAAGCACATGTGTTATAAGATGCAAGAAACAGAATCTCTGAAAGAGTCCTAGGTTGCCCAGAAAGAGTCACTCTAAAGGCAAAAGTTTTTAAATTTAAGAGATAACAGAAAAGTTACAAGGGGATGGCAGGTGGCACATTCACTCCTTGGGATGAGATATAATTATTCAAACACATAAAAAACTAGTCCAACGTATTTTTCACATTGTTTAATATGAGATACAAAGGAGTCATTTACCTTGCACATAAGTACGGATTAATTCATCTCTAAAACCTGAGGTGTTTACTACTGTGTCTATAAAATATAGTAAATTAAAATGTAACATCAATCCATTCATTTATGGCAAACTCTCCTGGTGCTAACAGTGTATTTTACTTTTAAAATATTTATTTTGTCGGGGCCGGGGATTCAGCTCAGTGGTTCCACCACCTGCCTCGCAAGTGCAAGGACCCAAGTTCGATCCCCAGTACAATAAAAAAAAGTTATCTTGTCTTGGACTAAAACCTCACTCACATAATAGTACTGAACATTTTCCCACTCTTATCATGGGATATTTCTTGCTTTAAAGTTACCTTCTTGAAACTGTCATGCAATTAGCCTTCTCTTTGCAAAATATTTTTCATCAGGAGCCACTTTATATTTTATATAACAAGCTTTAAAATTGCAAATATTTAATTTTCATTAGCAGTGAAAACCTCTTAAAATTATTTCAACTCGAAGCCTAACCATATACCTCACTACTATTGAGTTTACATGAAATACTATCCCTGAATCTATTCTAATTCTATACCAAGCATATTGTTGCAATATCATCACCACCAGTGAGTGCTAATCCTGCTGATAAATAGAATACTTATCTTGGTATTTTCCTAATTCCGCCCAATAATTCTGATGCACTTTTTTTTTCTTCCATGCAGACTTTTGGCTCTGGAAGAGACTACAGAAACTATCTAATCTGACCCACTCCCTCCTCATTAAAATTAGGTTTTATAAATACAATATAAAATCTCACACATCAGTACTGTGAGGCTGCCCAGAAATAAGCCTAAAGTTTGGATTCAAACTTTACCTTTGTAAAATCCCCAGCGAATCTCCCACAGCAGACTTCACTCCTTCCTTTCCAGGTTTCAAAATCTTTTCTCTGAAGGTATCAAATGCTTTAAAAGGCATTTTGAAAAGGACAGGGGCAGCTCCAAGCCGTTACCAGGAGCTCTCAGAAACAGTCATCCTTCCTCATCGCCAGCGTGGGGAGTGCTGCTTCCCCTGATGGCCACCTGGATGTCGGTCCTGTCCTCCTGCTCTTGCTCTGGAGGGAACTATTTAAAATCAAAAAGGGGATGTTGCCCAGCCCCAGGTCGTCCAAGAAGAGGCAACTCTCTCCTCTCTGGGGGCAGGGAGGGGGCTGGTTCCTGGCTGGGAATTCAGCCCCTTGCAAAAGCCAGCAGCTCAGCAGCAGCCTGTGGCGCTGTCTCGCGCAGCCACCAGCAGACTGAGCACGGCCTCTCTCTCCCTGGCTGCAGCTGCAGGAGCTCATGTGGGCTCCAGCCCACGAGGGGCCCAGACCAGCAGCATCTGTGGCTGAGCTCCAGCCCCTCCTGCCTCCCTGGCTGGCCCGTGGTGTTCCTCAATCTCTCTCTCCTAGCAGCTCAGCAGCAGCCTGTGGCGCTGTCTCGCGCAGCCACCAGCAGACTGAGCACGGCCTCTCTCTCCCTGGCTGCAGCTGCAGGAGCTCATGTGGGCTCCAGCCCACGAGGGGCCCAGACCAGCAGCATCTGTGGCTGAGCTCCAGCCCCTCCTGCCTCCCTGGCTGGCCCGTGGTGTTCCTCAATCTCTCTCTCCTCTCAGCAACCTGCACACCTGCCCCTCCAGCTGCCTGGACTCATTAATGGGCTCTCGGCCAGAGCAGGCACTCAATGACATTTATGAAACATTTCCAAGTCCTTGCTTTTCTGAGGCCTGGCCCTGCAGTCAGGCTCTCAGCCACCACTTGACGCCTTTCATTCCCCTTGGAGGAGTCATGAAAACTGTTGTTCAGCTGGCCCTGGCATGGATATGCTCCCCGGAGAGCCACTTGCCTTGAGAAGCCTGATGCAAACCCCAGGGCATGACCATGTAGGACATTGGTTTGCTTCTCAGCAACAGAGCAGGCTCTCTCAAGATGTGGTGTAGATCCCACTGAGGCCATCTGATTGAAGAGATCTGTCACCTGATGAAGCTCCTCGCTGGCTCCTTGTGTCCTTGAGATACAGAAACCCTTAGTCATGATGCCCAAGGCCCCACAGTGGGACCCAGCTTTGTTCTTCTCCCTCTGGGGCACCTGCCTGAGCTAAACCAGCTCCCCACCATGCCTGGGGTTTGTTCAGGCTGCTGCCCCATCATCCAGGTCACTTCTGGAGGTTCTCTCCTCTTTAGAGCCTCGTAGATAGGTGAGGTGTCCCTGCATACATCACCTGTCCTCTGCCACAGCAGGACCTGGCTGGTAACAGGTGAGACCTGAACCTCTTGGATTCGGGTTGATGTGTTACGCTGCTCTCACATTTATGGTCTGCAGGACGAGGCAGGATAAGGCCCCTCAGTGATTTCACGAGGAAGAAACTGCCTTTATCTGCAAGACTCTGGGACTTCAGCCCCAGGACGTGACTGAGAAGTCACATGCCACGGGCACCCAGCTTTCCCGGGAGCTATTTCCACGGCGCCGGTCACTGCCCTCCACGAGCCACAGTCAAGTCCTTCTCTAAGACTAGACGTAAGCTACATCATACAGGATGCTCGGCAGGCCAAATACTGCTAATCTGCTGGACTCTTTCTATATGGTTTGAAGGACTCTTTATATATTCTCACAGACTTCACCTTGCCGCTTTGTGATTAGTAGCTTATTTTCTCCAATTTTACTTACAGGAAACTGAGGAAAAGAGAGGTTGGATTTGTCTGAGCTCACACAACTAGTAAGTCAGACCGTCTAGTGCCAGATCCAAAAGCACCCCCCTCCCCACCTCCTCCCTCCCTTTCCCTTCCCGCCCACACTGCAGTGCAGCACACTTTGAGTGTCACATCATTCACTTCTCTCAAGGGGACAGTCCAGTGATTCTCTGCAGTTTGCCAAGTTGTACAGCCATCGTCATGAAGCGATTCTAGAACATTTCTGTCATCCCAATTAAATCCCTCGTATTTACTGTGAATCCCCATCCACCACCCCCTATCCTGCCTCAGATAACTGCCAATATTTTCTTTTCCTGCAGATTTGCCCTTTCTGCCAACTTTATAGAAATAAATCATGTTGTATGGTCTCTGGCTTTCTTTCACTTAGTGTGATGTCTGCCCAAGACCCAGCGTACATCAATAGTCTGTTCCTTCCTTTAGTGCTGAGAATAACCGCATTGCATGGGTACACTACATACTGCTCATCTAGTGAGGTACTGATGGACATTCAGGTTACTTCCAACTTCTGAGTATTATAAATAAAATTGTTACAAACATTTGCCTATAAGTCTTTGTGCAGACATGCTTTTGTTTTTCTTGAATAAGTACATAGGAGTGGAATTACTCGTTCTTGTGGTGCATACATGATTAACTTTTAAGAAACTGTCAAATTTGTTTCCAAAGTGACTGTGGTATTTTACATTCCCACCAGCATGTATCAGGATTCTTACTTTTCCACATTCTTCCCAGTATTCATTGGCTGCCCTTTTCAGTACAATGTTCTAGTAGGCATGGCAAGGGTATCTCACTGTAGGTTTAATTTACGTTTCCCTCATAGTTAATGACACTGACTATCTTTCTAGGTTCTTGCTAGCCATCCAAGTATCTTTTGAGAGGTGAAATTTCTATATAAATATTCTCCATGTTTGAAAATGGTTTTTCGTCTGCTTATTATTGACATGTATCAGTATGTATCCCGGATACATGTCCCAGGGATGTTCTATATTTACCGAGATATCTTTTGCAAATATTTCCCCCCAGTCTGCTGTTTGTCATTTCATTTTATTCATTCTGTACTTTGAATTACAAGCTTCCTCATTTTGGTGAGGTCAAATTCATTTCTCTTCTATGAACTGTACTTTTGCTATATTTAAGAATTATTTGCCTAACCCACGGCTGTTCTTCTAAGAAGTTTATTGTTTTCAGCACTTACATTAAGTCTCAGGTCTCTTTTGAGTTCAGTTTTGTGCATGGTGTGAGATCAATGTCTAAGTTTGTCACATGATAATCCAATTTTCTCAGCATCATTTTTTAGAAATGCTACCCTCTCTCCAGTGAATTGTCTAGGCGTCTTTGTCAAAAATCAATTGAACAAAAATACAAAGATTTATTTTGGGACTTTCAATTCTACTCAGTTAATGTATATGTCTATTATTGGGCCAATATCACATTGTCTTAACTACAGCTATATGGTAAGTTTTGAAATGGAAAATGAAAATCCTAACTTTGGTCTATTAAGGAAATTGCTTGGGCTGTCCCAGATCTTCTGCATTTTTGCATTTAAATTTTAGGAACAACTTATCCATTGCTACAAAAAAGAATTTGCTGTCCAGCCCTGTGCTCTTATTTTCTGGTCACCAACCTTGCCAACATAACTTCTCAAGGCTCAGAGGGGATTTAGCTCAGTGGTTCCACCACCTGCCTCACAAGCACAAGATCCCGAGTTTGATTCCCAGCACCAAAAAAAAAAAAAAAAAAAAAAAAAAAAAAAAAAAAGCCCCAGGAAATCATGCTACCAAGTCTTTATGTGGCTCCAAAGAGCAAACTCATTTGTTGAAAGCAAATACAATCACAAGAAAATATAGTGAACACACTCTACAGAAAGCCTCTACTGATGGACCATCTAACCATTCATCAGCCCCCACATACCTCTAAATTTCTCATCTCTTACAGCACATAGTGGAAGCACCACTAGGTAAAGACTGTATCAACCTCAAAGAGTCCATGGCTGCTGAGGGCACTAATCATTCCTGCAGAATGTCTTGCCCTTAAAACACTTGGATCCACTAAGTTTGACAGTACTACTTAAGATGATCGATGATGATAAGATTTCTAGAGTATTTTCTCATTCCAGGTGTTAAGCATTTACTATGCATTAACTCATTTATTCCCTACAATGACCCTGAGGTAGATATTATCATTGTATCATTTACAGATGAGGAAACTGAGGCACAGAGAGGTCACATTGCTTAAGTTCATACAGCTAAGAAACTGGCTAGTACATGAGAGATGGACCCAAGGAGTGTGACACCAGAAATATACAGTGGACCTTTGACTTACGAACTCAGTTCATTCTCAAGGGCTGGGTGTAACCCAAGTTGGTCAACTGAAGGCTCAGGCTCCTCTCCACAGCCTACAGAGTCTCTCTCCTGCACACAGGCAGATCTCAGCATCCTTAGAGAGACACCAGCCCAGGATTTCTTAGTGAGTCCCACACAGGAGAGGATGCAGTCATGTTCCTCCCAGAACTCTTTAAAGGTTAAATCTGTATCTGAGAACATCTGGAACAAATGGCCAGCATTTGGGTCATATCTCAAGATGGGGGAGGTACCAGGGATTGAACTCAGGACTCTGCACTTGCAAGACAGGTGGTGGAACCACTGAACTAAATCCCTGGCTCAAGATCTTGTTTGTAAGTTAAAACTAAAAGTCTACTCATAACCCAAGTTGTTCATATGTCAGGCAGGTCATAACTCAAAGGTCCACTGTACTATTAACTTCTACATGAAAGCTGTCAATAAGCAAGATCTAAAGCCAGAGGTGATGGTACATTCCTGTAATCCTAGCATTCTGGGAGTTTGAGGTAGGAGGATCACAAGTTTAAACCAAGCATAGACAACTTAGTGACTTGGTAAAACCCTGACTCAAAATGGAAAAAAAAGTTTTAAAAAGGCCTCAGTATGTAACTTAGTGAGATGGCCTTGGATTGAATCCCCAGTTTTGAAGAGAGAGAGAGAGAGAGAGAGACTGTACCAGTGCTACAGTTTAGATCTAGAATGTTGCCCAAAGATCCACATGGAAAAAGCTAAATCACTAGCTTGGTCCACGGGGAGATGGTGGAGCTTTCAGGGGGTGGGGCCTAAAGGAAGGTCTTTAGGTCATTGCCAGGGTGTGCCCTTGAAAGAGACCATAGGACCCTGCTCCTTCCCTCTTCTTTTCTTTTACTTCCCAGCCATGAGTGAGTAGTTGTGGTCCTCTATGTACTCCTGCCATGATGCACTGCCACAGGCCCAACTCAATACAGCCAACCAATCACGAACTCAAATTTCTAAAACCATGATCCAAATAAACCTTTTATCTTTATGAGTTTGTTATATGAGATATTTGTTATAGCAACAAAGAGCTAACACAACTAGAATTGAAGCTCAGGCTCATTTCATTCACTGTTTCCTTTGTTCTTTTTCTTGAGGGTCTACTAGGTGGCAGGTCCTCTTTAGGCAATGCTAATACAGACTGGACTGTGATGTTCTCCTTGAAGAAACAAATAAACAGGAAATAAATGGGTCCACCACAGAG